CCGCCGGTTACATTTTTCAAAGACGAAAGACGCATTTATACGACGATATACGACGATTCTGCACGATGGCGGAGAGCAAAAACGACGATAGCAAGAATTTATTTTACACGATGGACGCTGTGCCAAAGTTCACGGGTGATGACATCACGTACTCTTCTGCGAAGTGGACACAAGATCTCGACGATAATGCCGATATATTTGGGTGGAGCCAGCAGCAGAAACTCATTATAGCGCGACGATGTTTAGCTGGAACAGCAGAATTATGGCTAAAAAGCGAAAAAACTTTCAGAAGTTACGAAGAACTAAAAGTGGCTTTGATGAAGGAATTCCCTGAGGTGATAAACAGTAAACAAATGCATGAGACAATGAGCAGACGGAAAAAACAACCCAATGAGTCGTTTTATCAATATATGCTCGTAATGAAAGAACTCGGAAAAAGAGCTAAGTTTCCGGATTACGTCGCGATTCAGTATATAATCGACGGAATATCTGACTATGAATCTAACAAGTTGTTATTCTACGGGGTAACGTCGTATTCTGTGCTCAAGGAGAAATTAGTATTATATGAAAGTTTCAAAGAGAAGTCCAAAAAAAGTGTTGATACCATGAGACGAGGTCAGCGAGACACGGCGGTAATGCCTAGACAGGTTCATCGATGTTACAATTGTGGTGAAAGAGGGCACCTATCTAGTTCCTGCCGCAGAGGTATCAAATGCTTCAAGTGCAACGGGTTCGGGCACAAGGGTACGGAGTGCCGCGCATCACAAGGTATGGAAGCTAAAAAAGCATCAAATAATTATTATGGAGGAGGTGATGAACAAGATCGGCGATCTATGTTTGTTCGACAGCAGGAGGACGACGAGAAGAACGAGAACGAACTATACGAACGTGAGCAATGCGATTTAAAAGAGCAAGTGAGTGATATGCCAAATTTTAGTTGTCAACAACTAAATCATATTGTTTCGTCAAATTTATTAAATGTAAACAAACGTGATTCTATAAACATGAGTGTAAAATCAGTAAAAG